TTTATTTACAGAATTTATAACAGAATTTGAAAGCACCTGGGGGATTGTATTAAAACATTTTTTTGCTGAAGGCAAAGGGGAGATCATTGAATAATATTCACTTCACTTCATCTTCCACAAATATTTGTTAATTTTTATTAATTACTGTGTCTTTTTACCTTGGTTATTCACTACAGAACAGGGCAAGATTAGGGAAAGAAGTGATGTGTTTGATCTTTTATTTCTTTTCCAATTTTTAGGCACAATTTTTTCAGCACTAAACTTTAAAGCCCACAAGAATTTTGTTCTGGTCATCAAGAACACTTGAATGGTTTCTTTTCTGTTTTTTTCTTCTTTCATACATATCTTATGTGATGGGTTGAGGATGCTCAGATAAGACCAAACAAATTTTCAAACACTCAAAGCCAGAAGACTAGAAAATGGGGGAATAATAAATCCCTCAATCGATAGTTTAACATATACTGTAATATGTGAGGACATTTCCACTTTCCCTTTTCCATGCACCTCCACAAGTTTTTCTTCGACTAATTTCTTCAAGTGTACTGTTTCTAAATTTTGGAAATTCACCACTATACATTAATTTCGGAAAGCGGAACTTGTCAAAAATTATTTTCAAAAGGCACAAAGAGTAACATATTACTGTTATTGAACCTTATTTCTTAGCAAATGAAAGTATACTTTGGGCTGATTGATACAATCAGTGAATACCAATGTAGTGCATATTTATACTTATTGTTGTTACTGCTTATGCTAAAAGTGCCTCTGTGGTGGACTCTATTTAAGCCCTTCTTCCTAAATATTATCTTTACACATGTAACTAAAGGGCTGAAAATATTATGTTTACGGTTGTCGATTTTAGGGGGTGTGGATGTGCATTTCACCCAGGAACCTTCTAGTCCAAGCTACTTTAACAATGGTAGTGATGCCAAGCTAGTGTGGGACTACACTGATCCACATAATGGCATTCAGGACATTCTCTATGAAGTTCAGGTAAATGGTGCATTTGTCAAAATGATGGTTAAGAGCAGTCTTGATGTCCAAGAACATCCTAGTATTCCTCCATCTTACAAAGGAAGAGTTAAAATTGAAGGAAGAGCTACCTTGGTTATCAAGAACATCAACCCTAGAGACAATGCTAAATTTAACTGTGAGCTCATTGGAAGCTTTCTCGAAACAGTTAAAAGTACAGTTCAGCTTATTGTGGCAGGTAAGTATTACAGAAATAGTTATCAATCAAACATAAATCAGATGAATTCAACTCATGTCTTTCATATTTCTTTGATCTGGAGAAAGTAAACAATAGCATAAATTTGGGAACAGTAGACAGTGCCACTATTACTTGGCATGAGATACTGCACCACTAAAAGGAGAAAAGAAATTCTACCCTTTTTGCTTTGCTGTTTCTCAGGAGTAAGAAATCAAAGAGTTATCAAAGAGTTATTGCTTTATTCTTCTGGCAACAACTACTGGGTTACTCTGTTATGTGTAGATAACTGTAATATTAATATAAGTACTGATATTTTCTCTTAGCAAAGCTGTCAATTAAAAATGATCAGTCAAAACTAGAAACAATACAACTGGTTGTATGATTTTGCTAAATCAGTGACAGAAGGAAAATATTGCATGACCAATCACAAGCAGCATGTGAAATTAATTTGGTGTGAAAAAAACCATATCGCTTTTCAAGCCTTTTAAAGAGACTTGCCAAAGGGGATGAAAGTCAGCATTGCATCATTTGCTGCTTTCTGGGGATTGATATGATGATCATCAAGGTTTGCAGATGTAAATTTCATTAACAGATTGGTGACTTCTTCAAGTAATCTCTGACACTTAGGAGCA